CCTTCGGCAGGCTCAGGAGGCACACCCGTAGTACATAGGAAGTTCCCATGCACTTCACGGGTAGGTAGTTCAGTAGGCACAGGAGTAGTCTTCAGGATTCGGCCGCAGCACTCAGGAGGTGCGCTGCAGTAGTCTTCAGCGCTAGGCAGTAGTGGTAGCGCTAGCTGTAGTCTTCGGCGCTGGGCGCCATAGCTGTAGCTGTAGTCTTCAACGCTGGGCGCTGGTAGGTGGTAGATCGTAGAGTGGGAGAGAGAGACTGGCGGAGGCCAGTGTTACTTACCTGTGGCGCCATCACTCCAGCTCCATCTTCGTGATACCTGCATCGAGGCGCCAACTTCACGGGTTAGTACTGGACAAAGAGAGAGAGAGAGAGTTCTTCTTCTTCCTCTTCTAAGTCCACCTTCTCTTCTCACCCTCTCGCCACCTGACTTCTCAGACTACGACAGAGAGAGACAGAGTTGTGACTTGAGACTTGACGACATTGGATCCAGACTTGACATTTGGGATTCAGACATTTCGACGAGGGACTATTTGGGCTTGTGCGAAGACTCGGTGTTGACGACATTCGCATCTTCCCCCTCCTCTTCGTCTATCCCCTTCCTCTTCGTCTGTGTATGTTCTGGTCTGGCGCTGTCTTCCTGTGTGAAGCGCCAGACCCATTCACACTATGAAACGATGATGACAATGTATGTTCAGGTCTGCATTACAACATTGATTCGGATCACTGGTATCTAAGTCTTCCGCTGTGTTATCTAGTACTTTGTATTGAAAGGTCGGTTCTTGTTCTGGTCTGCACGTTACAGTATGCAACACAGGGCCTGTAGGCGCTTGTTTTCAGGCTTGCAGGCTGAAACGACACATGGCCTGTAGGCCCTGTTTTTCAGACTTTCGGCCTGAAAACAACAAGGGCCTGAAAATGGCCCGTGCAGCGTAATGCAGGCGCAGCATGTAACAGAGAGAGAGAGGCCGATAATCGCCGAAGATCGGGCTGGTCGCGCTGGAGATCATGTGCGTATGCCAGAGAGAGAGAGACGGAGAGAGAGGGCGACACCGAGGAGAAAAGAATCGGGTGATGATCAACGGACACACACACACACATCCACACACACACACACACACACACACACACACACACACACACACACACACACACACAGAGAGAGAGAGAGAGAGAGAGAGAGAGAGTGGTTTCACCTGTTGATTCTGCTGTGAGGAGAGCAACAGTGCCTCGCTTCTGAAGAGCGGCATTGCGCTGACTGGTGTCATTCTCCACTGCACCAGAGTGATACTGCGTTGGAGGCTGACACTGAATATTTGTTAACTGTTGGGATAAGAGAAATTAGATCCATCATTCGTGGAGATATAGGTTGATGATTGCGGGATGGGCACAACGAGAGAAAATGCTCGTGTGTGAAACGGATAAGGCAAGAGAAGACATTGTAGTATTGGCAAAAGCTTGCGTGTAAAATGGGGAAAGCAAGAGAAGACATTGTCATATTGTACCAGTTGACTATTGTGTGAGTGTGCCCTCCTCTTGTGTGTAAAATGGGGAAGGCAAGAGAAGACATTGTCATATTGCATTAGTTGACTATTGTGTGAGTGTGCCCTCCTCTTCTTCCTTTGTCTTGATGATGGTCCACTTTGCCATCACTGCGTGTTGTCATTCAGTGAGTATTTGAGCTTTTTCATGCATGATGTGAGTTTCTTGTCTTTAGGTGCATTTGCGAGGCTACGCCCGCTTAGCCCCTACGGGGCCCTATCTGCAACTTCCGCGCTAAGTGAAGGCAAGCACGACAGGCCCTTCGGGCCTCATTCTTCAGGGTACCCCGCATCGGGGAAATTCAGACAGTTGCGTTGCGCCAGTTGGTTGAATGAATCCAGGCCCTGGGCCGCCTGTGTAAATGAATGTGAAGCAGGCCCTGGGCTGGATACGGGTACCGGTCCAAACACAGGCCGAAAGCAGTTGGGCGCATGCAACCACTTCAGGCCCAAGGCCTGCTCTCTTCGTGACTGGGCCTGTGCCTACCGGGGCCTACCGGAAGCTTCCTGGACTGGACGCAGGCAGGCCACTTCGATATAGGGAAGGGCCTGCCTCCTCATTCGGCATTCGGGTGCTGGCTGCATGCTGCGTGAGTGCTGCTGCGCAATCCGCTGGCTGGCTGGCACTAACGCTCTCACGGGCGAGTAGGAGGGAGCACGCAGCCATAGCCAAGCTGCGCTGCTGTATGCTAGGTGAAGGCGCAAGGTGGTCCTTGGGGTGCTAGTGGCATCTGTGCGGTGTGGATCGGGGTTGTGAGTGTTACGAGAGACATACCTGGTGCTGAAGCGTGCGACATTGGTCGCCATATGCTCGTGCTTCGGGAACGCTGTTGATGTCATCATTCTGCCTCGTAGTATAGGCTAGATAGGATCTGCCACCTGTAGTCTGGGCGCCGAGCGCCAATAGGATATCTACTCTGGTTCGTAGTTGATGATGATGGGACTACTTCAGCATTGTCAATTTTGAACTCTTGGTGTGTTCTTATTTGGTGTATCTCGTGATGCCAGTCTGCTGTGGTCGAGGTCAAGACTATCTGGGCTCATATGTATGATGCTGTTTGACTGCTGAAGTTCGCTAATGCTCATCTTCCTTGCAATT